CACACACACACACACACACACACACACACACACACACACACACACACTCACATAAACAACACCTGTTCATCATCTACACAATGAAGAACAAGTCATACTACTACTAATGTATATTTCACAGTCATATAATATATACTTTTTTTACAAGTTTTAGAGTACATATAAACATGTCAAAATTTATTATTAACGGAAATTTGTAAGTTTGAAAAATGTTTGTGGTATCCTGTAATTGGCGTAGTTGTTTGGTATTGTTTATCTTTCAAATTGTTAATATATTGTAAGCTGTTGGATGCCCGAAATAAAATAAAATAAAATAAAATGATCTGTTGACGAGGCTAGTTTTTGTAGCATTTTATTCGAGGTCGCTATTTTGCAGTTTCTTCGTTGTTTATATTATGTTCAACCTTGAACAACTTTACTGCCGAGAGAAACACACAACTTTTCACCTCACTATAGCGAGGAAAATGGAAAATGAAAGAAAAACAGTTGAATAAAAAACATTAGTTTTTTAATTAACTATGAAAAAGTTTATCTTCGGATGCGTTCTGAATTTACACCTCATCAATATTTATAGTCGCTTGTAATTTTATTTTGGGTGATTAAGTGATTATTGAAATTATTTTAGTTCTTCGACGAATTGAAATTTAATAAACACCAAGATATCATTGTCAATTTAATGTCAACAATAATAAGAATAATATAAATAAATCGCGTAGATGGACGTGACATTTCTTTTTTTTTTCATCGAAAGAAAAAGTTAGGTGCACCACAGTTCAAAAATCTTTTTCACGCTAGGGTGCAAAAACGCTTTGGCTCGCAGATTTCCAATGAGAAAGAAAGCCTTTCCGAGGTAGTGAGGTGAAAAAAATATTTATGTACAACTGACCTTGTGCTTATCGCTGACGCTTTGTGGCAGCAGACGCTCGTTCGCGAGGAACCCGGGTACGTGTAACGCGGGATTGTGGTCCCCATGCTTGACCTGCAACGCGTAGGACGCCAACAGCTCCGACGTCTCCGGCGGGCAGTATATTATGTCAGAGAGGATGCTATTCTTCACCTGTGACACAGATTATTTAGAACTTTGTTGCATTTATACAGGCTGTATATTTGAAAGTGGGACATACTTATAGAGTGCGTTCTATTCCTGATTCTCAACCCAAAGAAATAATAAACTAATTAACTTAAACTTTACAAAAAATATTTTTTAATTTTTTTTTATCGACTACTACTTGAGCACAACATTAGTTATCGAAATCTATGCACATCACTATTATTGCTCCGACGCAGCGGCGAAAAGCAAAGCACAGGTCGGGGGTGAGAACGCGGGCGCATACGCGAAATTGCTCAGTCCACGCGCGACCTTGATCTAACGAAGACACGTAAATTATTTGTCCTTCCGCTTGCCCGATCGCCGCAAAATGGGTATTTATTCTAACGTGGAATTGACTGAGATGGTGCGACTTTACGCAATAAGTGGTGATAGTGTGAGGCAAGCTATTGAAATGTTCCCAAATCGGAGTTTACGCGGAGGAGTTGAACAGTGTTTCGACACTGTTGCGTTGCGTGAGAGGATTATCTCAGCATTTTATACTGTGAGACAAAATGTGTTTGTGTTGTACAATTTAAAACAAAATTTACTATGCCGTGCTAGACTATGCATTGTGGAAAACGGTGGACATTTTGAACACTTGCTCCGTACCACGTAAGTGTAAATAAACTATAAATAACTAAAAAATCAATCATTGTAATTAATTTGATTTCACATTTTTAACTACGCCAAAAACCTCAATTCTTATTAAATGATAACTACTTACTAAAACATTTCGATGATAGTTCAAGTAAAAAACAATTAACATAACCTAAAACGTAAATGTGAAATCATTGTTATTGTTGCTGTCTCACTCGGCGCTCGCTTGGTAGCATTCCCATTGCACTCGAAATTAAGCGTAAAGGGAATCGGTTTATTCCTATCTACACTTCAAAACACATTTGTTGATTTATTTTTTGTTCTATCACATATCCTAATTTTATTTTAGTCTATGTTAAGTTGTAACATGATTTACTATGACATGTATGAATATGTCTCACTTTCAAATATACAGCCTGTATAGTAATGAGTGTTAGAAAGAATAAATATTTAATACTTTCTGCTAAACCTACTTAGGTTTCTTTTACGATGGGACTAACGAATCGTCAGCTTGGTTCCAAGCAACATGCATGTCCGTAGCACTTCCAGAGCCATTCAGAGCTTTGAATCGCAGAGATCTGCGGGGCAATGCTACTGCTCCCGTCTCCCTGTGACATAAGTTAACAAGTCCCGTGTGCCTGTATATTCACCAGCACCTTTATCCTGTCTTGCGCCGCGTTGTTTAAATTAATAAGTCTTTTTGGTGAAATTTTTAATAACAAAAATAAAATTTAAATTTTTACGTGTTTGTGCAAAATAGTCTCATATTCATATTAATTTTTTTACCAAACCTTACAACATTTTCAACCATTTTCATCATTTTATTTAGGGTGCACTACCTTTATACTTACGTCATAGGCAAGTTGATTACGACTTCGCGCATTAACTGCAAAAATGCAGTCAATCTGTAGAGTTTATTAATTATTATTCCTGGAGCCTTATTCTAATATGTTAATTTAAAAATGTTAGCTTATGTTTTCTGGCCAGTTTTCTTTCAGCTGTTTTATAGAAGTTGTTTAAAGAATTATTACCTGAAGGTAGAAGTACTTGACGGTGATGTCCTGGATGAGTTCGTTAGCGACGTCTTCGGGGAAGAATTTGGCAAGGAACTTGAACTGCAGCGGGTCCTCTTTCTTCACGTGTTGTTGCATTACCTGGAAGAAAATATTAGTTTGTTATTTGTTGGATACTTTATAAAGTCTGCTAAGTACAGCCCACATGGTGTCATAACTGCAGTAGTTCAGGCACATCTATGTAATTCAAGTCACATGATTGGTCGCCTTGAATTATTAACATCACTCTCAATGCACTGAGAAAAATCCAATGTGAATTGGATAAAAATTAAGGTTAGTCCCATAGGCGCTTTATGAGAAGGTTCTGGGCGCGATTCCGATTTGGGCCAATTTATGAGACAAACATTTTTTCCCCCAGAGTTGTCGTTATTCTGGTATGTATACGGAAGGGATTCAGCAAAAACTATCATCCACTATTCTGGTACCAATTACTTATATGCATTTAATAGATACATATTATTTACTGCGTTGTACTTGTTGTATAGATACGAACCAAGAATATCGAAAAATCTTTCGGCAAATGAAGTAATGATGAGATCCCTGTATCCTACGGTGGGGAACAGGGCTTTCTTAAGATTTCTTACAAAATAAGACAATAAGAGACGAGTTTAAGCCAAAGGGGAAAATTTACAAGACCGTGATTAGACCTGTCATGTTGTATGGATCAGAATGTTGGGCGTTGAAAAGGGAGCATGAACGAACTGTGCATGTAGCGGAAATGCGAATGTTGAGATGGATGTGTGGAGTGACGAGAAAGGATAAGATAAGGAATGAGTACATCAGGGGAAGTTTGAAAGTGGCGCCAGAGACGGAAAAGATGGGGAGTAATAGGTTAGCGTGGTATGGACATGTCATGCGGAGGGAAGAATGTCATGTGACAAGAAGAGTGCTAGTTATGAATGTGGAGGGATATAAGGGGAAAGGAAGGCCAAAGAAAAGATGGATGGATTGTGTGAAAGATGACATTGATAAGAAAGGTGTGAGTATAAAAATGACGGCTGATAGCGGAGAGTGGAAGAAAAATACATGTTGTGCCGACCCCACCTAGCGTGGGATAAGGACAGGAAGAAGAAGAAGAATAAGAGACGAGTTTAATAGGTGGTAATTGTTGGGTAGCAAACCGTAAACAATATGGAAGTGAACGAAGTCGAGGATAAACATAAAAATTTTGCGTATATATTTTGTAAACTCTTTAGTCGATCAGCTGGATTCGGTATATGTTATGGCACTTTCTATTCTTTTATTCATAGTTCGACTGAGTTGCAAAAATAAACGTTTTTAAATATTTTTGTACAATCAAAAAATGGCTTAATGTAAACTTACTGCTATAGAAAATGGAGAAAAATGTATTTCAATATAAACTAACCTTCTTGTCCAGTTTGATCCACGCGACGCCGCCTTTAGAATCGGTGTACTGTAGACCGAAGAACCAGACCTCCCGAAGGCCAATGGTCTTCACCACTTGGTCGAAGAGCTGCTGTCCAGTAGTGGTCTTCAGTATCACGAACTCCAGCTCCGCGTCAATCGTCGTCACCCGGACGTTCATCTGAGGATACATCAGAACAACTGTTGGTTCAATTATTGGACCTAAAAATAGAGTACTTTACGAAAGCACGGACGACACCTTTGAGTTTTTTAATATTGTGACATTCATTACATATTGTTACATTATATCGTTAATAGTTTATGGCATAAGTGGGCGGGAGCTAGTAAAACCACTCTTAAATGCATCGAACGTGCCCAGAGGGCCATACTAAAGGTTGGTTTCTGTTTACCGTATCATTATCACCGGCTGTGTGTTGTGAATGCCTGAGATTTTGTGAAGCGATGCATGATAGTGAGTCAAGTATAGCGCTATAGTTTAATTTATTATTTCAGTGTTTGGTTTTTTTTAATTTTTTTTTTTATTGTTATTTTTTAATTAGTTTGGTTTCACGGCACATTGGTTATGGAACTGTAATGCCGTGTAAACATGTTTACAATAAATAAATAAATAAATTATCCTTCTGTGAAACTCTACTAAAAGTGCAAAGTTCTAACACTAAGACAGTTGTTTATAGTTCACGTCGTCCTAAAAAAGCATGGTCAGATTATTTATAAGATAGATAGATAGATAAAACGTTTATTTGGATCTACGGACATATACATAACAGAAAAATATGTAATACAATAAAAAAAAGGAAAAAAAAACAGCAGAGTCGCAGCACTGCCGAACACCCAGTTATGTATGTGTGCTGTAACAGCGCAAAAAGGCCATAGCTCAGCGTTGGTGTTTACTCAGGAGCAAACCGCTGATTTTCAGCTATAACCTAGAGGATTCCGCGGATACGACAACCAGTTAGCTGACGCCATTTTCATGTTGTATAAATTAAACAAATAATAATTTCGAAACTAAATAAATACGGAAGATAATATAAACATAATAAATAATATTTTTTTTTTAGATTTGATTTAACTGTATTAATTAAATTTTTATTGAATTGATATTCAATTATTTTATGTGAAATTACTCCACTAGTTTGTTATAATTATTAATACAAAGATTTATTAATAGAAAGAAAAGAAGAAAAAATACCTTCGATCCGGTCGGATTCGAACCGACGTCTTCTTCGTGCCAGACGCTATACCAACTAAGCCACGGAACGAACCAACGGACCTCAAGATTTTTTCTATGTGCTTGCGTCGTGTCTTTGTATTTGGTTTTTCAACGACTTTTTAGTCGTAGCGCCATCTATGAAAGATTTAACTGTTTTAATTGATTTAACTGTGTTAATAATATAACCAAATTATAAATTGAATTAAATGTGATTATTATATAAAAGACAATTTAATTATATATATAATGTATGTTGCTATTACACAATGCTATAGGCATGAATGGAATGCTGTAGGCAATTTTCGCTACCTAAGCAAAGCGCTGTGGAATACCCTTGTTTTGAGAGTCTAGAAGAAGTGCCTTTACCTTGAAAGTGCATTCAGATTTTAGAAGTCTTAAAGGTGGTTTTTTTTTTAAATTTTTTTTTATACATGACAGGCAAATGACTCCACTCTACCTGATGTTAAGTGGAAAGTGGTATCCAAACGCGAAGGAACCTAGTGGAGCGATGAAACCCTCACTGCACTAGCCACCTCCACCCTGCCTGCCTACAATATGCCTCTTCACGCCTCGTTTGAAGGATCCCAATATCATATCATGGTGGGATATTATTCCAACAACTTGTTGTTGTTCATTTTTTACTTTTTTTTTTTTACTTTTTTTTTAGTTGTAGTTCAGCCACTACTGTCCACTGCAGGTCAAAGGCCTCTCTACCCTTTTTCCACTCTTCGCGAATTAACACCGCTACAGGCCAAGACCTCATATACGCGTCCAATTCGTCACGCCATCTCGTTCTGGGTCTTCCACGGCTTCGTCTTGCGTTGGGTGGGATCCACTCCGTCGTGTTCTTTGCCCACAGCTCGTTTGACATGCGGCAGACGTGTCCCGCTCAGTTCCATTTTAAGCTCGTGGCTTTATAGCCAACGTCAACGAATTGTGTTTTGGAGCGCAGTATGCTATGGAGTCCACAGCAAGTAAAAATAATTATATTAAACCTATGTCAGACACGTAACGTTGGTGTTTGCATCGACCTATTACTTTGGTCATAACATCTAACAACATTTTTTCCGTACGCAAATACGACAACAATATTTTATTGTATAGAATTTAAAACTTTTGTGGTTCTTCACTAAATTATTATAATTAATATCAGGTTTCTTACCACGGTATGACTTCTTTTTATTTTCCCGATATTTCGGAGCGGTTGCACGTTCCATGGTCACGGATTGACTGGACGGCGGCAGATGACAGCTTTAAGAGCAGACATATCTGTCTACCCTCTTGCGCTGTCGACGACTACCTTCATCGCGATTTGTTGTGGCGTTACCATTGTCACTCATTTTTTTCACACAAACCACACTCACTGTATCCACACGCGAAACTGAACTCGAGGTGTTTTTGTTTTTATTACTGCACGCACTAACGACCGGATTCCATGCACTGGACAGTTTAAAATACTATTTTATTGTTCTCTACTAGCTTTCTAATAAAATGGTAACGTAGGTCGATGTGTTTGTTTCGACTATGATATGTATTTGCGCACTTTAGTTATCAGTATTCACTGGACAACGCCATGTATTCAGCCTCCGTGGAGGACAAAGCAACTGTGAGTTGCTTTTTGGAATCCCACAACATCGGTGAATACATACATATGAATACATAACCAGTATACGATCGCCTGTCACGACTGTTGACCCAGTCAGCATCGATGAACCCATATAGAGACTTTCCAGTCTTTTTAAATGTAAGACCGTAGTCAAACATACCTTTTAGATATTGCAGGACATGTTTAGCAGCAGTCCAATACGCCTGCAGAGGGTTCTTATTTAACTGGCCAAGGAAACTTACTGCAAATAAAATATCGGGCCTCGTATTGATAGTCAAAAACTTCAGGCAACCCATCAAGTTTTGATCAGCAGGTCAACACTAATGTCCGTAGGAGTAGAAACAGTTTTGCACTCCGCCATATTAAATGGGTATTACGTTTCTAATATAATATACTTTAAGGAGTAATTTCATGGTAAACGTTAGAACCACTCAAACCGAATATTATCATATTTATCCAAGCACACCAAAAATTTCATTAGTGCTTTTTAAGTGCAGGATTTGCGGTGCATTACTGCATTTTATTTGAGATGTTTTTGTTGGTAGTACGGAGCGTATTTATTTAGCAATGCAGAATAAAAATTTTTATTTATAAAAACTTGTATTTAAACTGAATCCTTTTCTAATTTGCGAAACCAAATAGCCGCCATTTTGCGGTAGGAGGAGCGCATCGCGTGAGCAGTTATTCAGGGTAAACTTAAGAAACGCTACTTACGGTATGTTTTCAATTAATAAACACCGAAATCACCAGCCCAAACAATAACACACACGATTGTCGTGACGTATTTTTGAAGTTGTTTATTTTTTTTAAATGACAGACCCAGGTATTGAAAACTTTATGGTTTGCTAGAGTAGTTACCGAAATAGCCATTAATAATAGTTCTTCTACCTGTAATAACTTCGATATCCGATAAACTGCATGTATCGCGTGAGCGGATAAATAGAACAGTAACTTACAGGTGTTCTTTCCCTTAAAATGTACCTTTTAACGGGTCCCACAGGCGTTTTTTCTTCCTCAACTGGTACTGTTGAAATTGTAGGGAGAAGACGGGCCACAGACAAGAGTGGTAGCGTAGCAGCAGTACTTGTACTCACTACAGGGTCAACTGAACTGCCTTGCACCTGTAAATTATTGTTATTAGCAGGGAGAACAATATTTTGACGAACCAATCTTATCGCTTGAGAAACAATCCTCTAAAAATACTACATCCCGTTCTTAAATACTTTTTCTTATATTGGTGGGATCATGAAGCCTATACAATTTGTTATCGTCGCAATAGCCAACGAATATGTACTGTTTTGCTTTAGCGTCTAACTTTTAGCGATTAGAGGACGGTACATAAACGTATGCACGACAAACAAATATTATAATATAGCGCCTTGTCGTCGAGTTGCCTACACCAGCCCGTTACACCAAGTACCAAGTACCAAACAAATATTCGTAAATGAGAGAGATTTGGCTTTCTATTATACCAAATCTCGTCGGAGTACGATTTCCTAAAACTCTATGAGGGCATCTATTTTTTTTATAATATTAAGTGACGTGGTGCGCCTGATGGTAAGCTACACGCCTGTCCATAACAGTTGCAGTGCGACTCAGCGATCTGAGCGACTCTAAGACATAAGTTGACAAGTCCTTGTGCCTGTAATTTTACCAGTACCCTTATCCTTCAAAACCGGAACACAGTATTGGTGACAATACTGCTTGGCGGCAGAAATAGGTAAGGTAGTAGCAGTACGTAACGCTTCTTCCCAGAAGGCCTTTGGTAGACTACTATCTTTTAACATGCACCTAGCCTTCACCACTAAGGACCCAAGACTCTTTTGCCTATAACCTTTACAATATCGTGTTTGTACATAGGACAACCTGTCTTATGAAAAACAACAGACTTGCTTCGATCGTTACCGGGCGTATTATACCGATTTAGGGAACGTGATGTACTGAAGTCCTAATTCGAAAGAAAAAAAAAATTTCTTTTTATCACATTTTGCGATATAAATTACATCAATGTATCATGTGGACTGTCAGAAATGAAATCGTAGTTAATAATATTTTTCAAAAAAATCATTAAGTATATTTAATACATGTCCAAAACCAAATCATATCCCCAGCAAGTTGGTCATATGTTCCTATATTCCTAAGCAAATACTACTTATATCCATTTCACTAATCAGAATTAAAACACTCGCAGTGCGGGTAGACAAATAAGACGGTAGTTTCTCTGTTTAATACTCTCATTAGTTGATGAAGCTATAAATAAGTGAACCATCGTAGTACTCGTATTTGTGCTGTAAGTGCAGTTCAATTCAGGAAGACCTACTATTTCATAAAAGATGAAAACATATAGGTATGTATAAGTTTACGAGTATATTGATATGTCTTATGGTATTAAAAGTGTTGTGAAGTGTATTTTAGAAAATTTACTACTTATTTTCTTTTTTTATCATCGACTTACAATTATATGGACGTCGGATCCGCGCTAAAAAGTGTTCGAACTTATAGGGCGTTAAAATCGTATACAGAGCGTCATTCACGCTTTAGTCTTCGTTTGTTCGACTAACAGCGAAGCAAGCAAAATTAGACAGTACTGCGATGACATTACAATTTAAATTCAACGTTTTAGTTTCTTCGTATTCCTTTACATGTCACTACGTTTAAATAGGTTGACTTGGGACATTTTTTTCGTGGTTTTTGTATTAGACTCGTCGTCCATTTATTTGTAAGTCAATGTTTTTTATAAAAAAACAAATAGGCATTGGTCCATCTCACCTGCTGGAAAGTACCGATGAGGTCGAGGATGTAGCAGGCACATCTAAATAATGCCTACTCACTCTCGCCTTGAAAAGGTCCAAGTTATAGCGTTCGGGGAACAAGTCTGCCGGCAGGGAATTCCACTCCCTAGCCGCTTGCCATATAAATGAATATACACATATATATACGAATCCTGGGAATATCCACAACATAGGGATGGAACCCCAGCCCACGTCTAGTCCCCCGATGATGGAAAGGGTAAGGCGGAATCATATTATGCAATTCCATCGCACATCTCCGTGAATATAATATCCTGTAGAATACCGATAAGCGTGGTTGCCGCCATGCTCGGTAGCGAGGAGTCCTGGGAGGCGGTGGCCTCCTTTTGCACAGAGGTTATGTCGCAAAAGGAGGCCGCGGAGCACCCGCACCCGCTTCGGCGCAGACGTACGGGGAGAAGGCGAAGGCAGTTCGCTGCTCGCCTGATCCCCTAGTGAGGCCAGCGGGCTCTGGACAGGGACTCCGGAGCCTGCATTGCACGGCCTTACTCGTCTGGGGGGCGGACCGGAGGACAACCGACTCGCCCCTCCGTTGACGCGGGAGTCCTAGCGCAAGCGGCCGGGCGTGGTGAATGTTCACCGATCCCACGGCGCCGACTGAACCGGCGAGAGGGAAACCCGGGGGGGTTTTAGTGGGGTAGACCCTCCAGTTTGGAGGGAGAGTCCCCACATAAAGATATCCCCCGTCAAAAAAAAAAGGCAACTCTGTAAGCCTCTTGGCACGCTTGTCTATTGAATCCAAGGTGGCCAGTTGGTACAATGGCCAATACGATCTAGACTATTCTAGACGATTCGACTAGCCTTAATTTTGATTCGCATATAAACCGCATTGAAATGAATCGATTCAAAAAATTGCTAGATCGTAAGTAATTTAATCGATCTTCATAAAATGGAATCGTAATGTGCATGCCTATTATGTTCATTCGTTCTATATAATAATAATAACGCACACACCCCGACAATACCGACGACGCTGCTGTACCTGTCGCGACGACATTACTCCACGAAGTCTGAGGAGATAGTGGAGTACATCTGGTTAAAAGCCGAATACACCTTGAGGGTCAACCGATTGGAGTCCCGCCACAACGTGAATTTTATTTCGTTCCAGGGGGTCGATTCAGAAACCTTACTAACTCAGTTGTCGACCAATTTCTTTTAATTTTTATTCACAATAACCAAATCGTCAAACTGTCGTATTCGAAATAGAAATAACGTCACTCCCGTACGATTACTCGAGCTTCTCGACCGGCAAAGGCTACAAACGTTAAACAAAACAGTTATCGAATGAAAGTTACCGAACGTCCTATTGTTTACGAAGCAAGAATGTAATATGGAAATCTCTTATTATTTTAAATAAAGTCTGGATTTTGTTTAATTTTTATTAAACCTTTGTCAGTCTATCCGGCTCGAAGGACCAATAATTCAACTTTTGCCAGTCTATCCGGCTCGAAGGACCAATTGAAGAATAACGGCGCCGATCCGTAATCTGTCGAGGAACCGCCTTCGATATCCTTCCTCAAAGGAATCTTCCTTAATCTTATGAAGGGGACTGCGTATTCAAATAAAAAAGTTACGGCGATCTGACTTACAACATGAACACGTCTTAATACTAAGAGCGCAAGAATGCGAATGAAGCTAAACAAAAGCCAAAGAACAAAAATACCAATATTCGCTTATGCTTATACCGGTACGGTGTCATATCAATTGGTCGCTACGCTTCTCGGCCAATCAGAGCTGCTGAATTATTCATTTTCCTCTCAATTCTAGCTCTGACCGGCCAGACGCGTACGGCTGTCCGTAACATCTTTATTAATTTATTTTAATGCAAAACTAATGCATACCTATATTTTAGACCATTAAAGCCTTAAAAATGTATTATATAAAAGAATTTTCATTTTTCTTATAATCTATTTCACCGACCAACTTCGTAAACGCTGTCGGATAACGTATCCGAATTTGAATCCTAAATATTCAAAGGCTACAAACGTTAAACAAAACAGTTATCGAATGAAAGTTAAAATGATTTAAATCCGAATGTTTAACTCGAATATTCTGAATAGCTCGGAAAACGCCCTTCCATTTGAGAACGATATCCAATCGTACGATTCGGTTAAAATATGGAAAAGTTCTGAATCGGGTGGCTGGTGAGAGTACCAACCGGACATCTTCCGACCTTCATGAAGGAGGAGTTTTGGTCGAAGGAGGTGTCATATATCGGCGATTCCGCGGCCGTTTACCTGACACCAGATTGCGTCACACGTCGCCGACAAGTGCAA